CCCCAAATCCTCTAGCTGGGTGGCTCCAGACAGGGCCACCATCTGGCTATGCTGTTCGGTCAGCGCACAAGGGCACCAGGTCAAGGAAACAAGGAGGAGGCTGACCATTTCCAGTTTGTGCAAAGGCGCTAAGGGCTGGCCTTGGCCCTGCAAGCTGCATCCCCTACCCTACGCCTCTCCCAACCTGTAGACTTGCTTTTCCAGCTGTTCATAGGACAGTTCCCCCAAACACTGCTGGTAGATCTCCCAAGTCCAAAGCCAAAGTGAGAGAGACTGATAGAGTGATATGTGCCCAGGTTGAAAAGAAAGAAATAGGGGCCAGCCCAGTGGCGTAGCAGTTGGGTGCACACACTCTGCTTTGGCGGCCTGGGGTTCACGGGTTTGGATCCCAGGTGTGTACCGACGCACTGCTTGTCAAGCCATGCTGTGGCGACATCCCATATAAAGTAGAGGAAGATGGGCACGGATGCTAGCCCAGGGCCAATCTTCCTCGGCAAAAAGAGGAGGATTGGCATCGGATGTTAGCTCAGGGTTGATCTTCCTCACACACAAAAAAAAAAAAAGAAAAGAAAGAAATAGGGATGAGCAGGGAGCAGGAGGCTAGAGAGTACTGAGGGCAAAATAAGGGGGCTGGGAAGAAAAGGAATAGATGGGGCAAACCAGACAAGAAAGGAAATCAACTGGCTTCTCAGCTCCAGAAGCTCTTCCAGGAAGATCGTCTCATTCGATCCTCAGGAAAACTCTCAGAGTAGCTATAACTATGATCCTTATTCTACAGCCAAGGAGACCAAGATCAGCCAGCCAGCAGTGGGACCTTGAACCCAGGTCTTTTGACACCAAATCCCTCACCCCTGCGCCCCACCCACCTCTCGGCAGATTGGAAAGAGGTGACAGGCTGGGGGGATGGCATTGAAGTATTGGGGTTGTACCTGAGGAGAGACCAGGACCACCCAGGGTCAGAGGGGAAGAGGTCGTGAGAATGGGAGAGGGGCCGGCCCAGTGGCACAAGCGGTTAAGTGCACACACTCCGCTGCCTCGGCCCAGGGATCACCGGTTCGGATCCCGGGTGTGCACCGAAGCACCGCTTGTCAAGCCATGCTGTGGCGGCGTCCCATATAAAGTGGAGGAAGATGGGCATGGATGCTAGCCCAGGGCCAAGCTTCCTCAGCAAAAAAGAGGAGGATTGGCAGATGTTAGCTCAAGGCGGATCTTCCTCACAAGAAAAAAAAAAAGAATGGGAGAGGCCACCCCTGGTGAGTGAGAGCTGGCTGTGCCAGAGGAGGCTGCAGGGGGGCCCAGGGAACTGAGGTGGCTCGTAGAAGGGCCAGATTCTTGGGAATCCTCTCTGAGCTTCAGCACTGAAGATTTCTGGGCAGCCACGCGCACCTCAGCACTGATCTTTCCTTCCTTTAGCCCCTTGGATACAAATCCAACCGAAGCAATGATATGAAAGTGCAGAGCATTCTTTTGATCCTCCCAGCTCTGGGGAAAGGGCCTGGCCCAAGCCCTCAGAACCCCTCCTCCACTCCACACCGGACAGGCAGCGCCAGGGCCTCCAACCGGGGCAGGGGTACCTCCAGAGAAATTCCCAAAGTCTTGAGAGATGGAGACTGGGTCCTGCACCCAACCCGGCTGCAACCCCCACCTTCTCACCTGCCTCTGCAGCCTACCTAACCACACTTGCTGGTCCCCCAGCCTCTCCCAGCACCCGTTTTTCATTAGTTGTTTAAATCATAATGATCCACAGAGCTCCCCCTACACACCAGATACAGAGCTTGGCATGAGGGATTCCCACCCTGCCCCTGGGCTGCTTTCCCTCTGTCCCGCCCCATCCCTCCCTCCCTCCCTCTGTTCTCTTCCTCCAAGACTCTGCCCCTCACTCAGGATCGTTGGGGTCCTCCTGTGGGAGGCCCACTGGCACATGCTGGGCTGTCCACTGAGGAGAGCTGAGGGGAGCCCCCCAGGCCATCCTCTCACCCACCTTGCTGCCTCCAACCCTCCCCACCACAGGGACCTCTCACTTCCTCCGACACACACTCACACTTCTGGGAAATCCTTTCTGGAGTCACTCCCAATCCTTCAAAGATGATGAGAATCAGCCCCTCCCTGTTTGGGTGATAAACCTCCATCCTCACACCTCAGCTGCTATTCTGAACACCTCCCTCCTCAGGGTTGAGCAAGAAATTTCCAGCCTAAATGATAAAGCAAAACCTAAAGGACTCCAGGCCCTCGCAATCCTCCCTAATCCCCTAATCTCTCACCATCTCGCCTCCCCAGGGCTGGCGGCTCCAGCCCTCTGTGGGAGAACGTGCGGAGGGGGAGGGAGGGCTGACCCACCCCTATCAGGGTCATCTCTGAGCTTACTCACAAGTTAAACCTGCCTCTCAGGTTCCCTGCTCTCCCTCAGCAGGACACCGGAATGGAGGGCAGGATGGGGAGCGGGGAGCCATTGTCCCCCTTCAGGACCCCCCTCTGCTGAGTCTCTTTATGGTGCCTTTGTCTTTGCCTCTCCGCAGGGCCCCTCCTGCTCCACCGTCTCCCAGGCTGGGCCTCACAGTCACCCACTCCCCTTTCCACCTCACCTCCCACCCCCACCAGGAGCCCCAGTGCTGAGAATCTAGAAGCTGAAACTACTCCCTCACGCCCCCCTCCCCAGCTCTCCCAGAGGCTCTCAGACAGAGTGAAAGGCCAGGAACCACAGAGAAAACTGGCAGTGGTGGAAAAGGGCAGGCTGGTTCTGGAAGCCTGAGGTTGGTATTTGCCCCGATGCTGCAAGAGGTCAGGAATGTGGCCACTGACATCAGCCACAGGAGATAAGACCCGGCTGGCAGCTCTCCCTCCGCCTTCTGCCCCCACTGAGCCTCGGACTGAGCCTCCACAGGTCCCAAAAAGTCCTGAGCAGTTGGAGTGAGGCAGGGACCAGAGAAGGATCTGGGAAGGAGCTTGAATAAGAATCCTGGGCTCTGGGCCTGACCCTTGGTGGAATTCAAGTCCCCCAGGGGTCTTAAGTGATTTAGAGAGAGACCATCTATCATTGAGCCCTCTTTACAATTAAATTGACCCCCCACCTCTGCCCTCCTGGACGTATTGGAGACTTACTCCGCAGTAATTAGTATTTGTTCAATGAATGAGCGAGTGATAATTGACACTCACACCCACTGCCACCCAAGGAGACAGACTGGACAGGCTTTATTATGATTCTCCTTTACAAGTGAAGAAACTGACGTTCAGAGTTAAGTGACTTCTCCAAGGTCACTCAGCTAGCAAAGTTCCCAAATTGGCCGACTTCAAGCTTAGCAAAAACAGCAAAGGCAATACATATATGTTTAATCTATATACCTTCTTGTGCAATTCTGCACAACATGACAGTTCTGGACCCCAGTAGGGGAATGTGACAGTGGAAGCAGGAGAAACCCCTTTGACTGGCTGCACCTCTCATCTCCCAGAAACCTTCCATGCAAAATGAGTGGGCAATCATTTGTGTGCTATTTTGCATCCCATTTGCCTTTTGGCCTTCAGCAGGCCCTGACCGTCTCCTGGCCAGCTCCCAACAAGTACTGTGGGGCTTTCTCCACCACAAGGTGGCAGGCCTGGGACAATCCAGGGCCAAGCCCCTCATCTGGGCTGCGCCCCACCCCCACCCTCCACCCCCCAGGCTGGTCTACTGGCCAGGCTACTCCAGAGCCCCTTCCCCTTCAGGCCTGCTCTCCTGCCTGCCCCCACCTCTTCAGGTCAGCGGGCAGCTCGATAAGAATCAATATGTCCACTCCAGAGCAAAGAGCACAGACAAGTGTGTAATGCCAGGCCCTGCTGGACAAACGAGCTGCTGAGGGTGACAGACTTGAAGGCCCAGTACCTCCAGGTTCCCCCAGTTCGTTCAGCAGGGGGTGGCCATCCAGCCTCAGGAATGCAGGGAGCAGTGGGAACTTCCCTACTTCCATCTTTCTCACCCATCTCCTGACCTGAGCTTCCTGGAGGAGGCAGCCCCCCGGGGACAAGTTTGGGATCCAGAAAGGCTTAAGAGGAGAGGCAGGAGAAGGAGGGGGCCTGGAGAAAAGTCCTAGTAAGGAGGGGGAGGGGGCTGGCCGCCAGGCTGAGTCCCAGCTAGAATGTTTCTAGTTGTGTGTGTCCGTCCTCTTAGGCCCCTCCACGTGGGACACATTACAACCTCCATGAGGAAGTTCAGTCTTATTCTCTGCTTTGCTCCTCGAAACTACAACAGGGCCTGATGCACAGAAAGTGCCCAACGAACATCTGTTCGCTGGAAGTGGAAGTGCTCCAGGAGTATCTGTTTACCCAAGGGTGTGGGTACAGCTGACACACAGCGTGCAGGACTGAGGAGGTGTCCCCTGTTCCAATCACAAACTGTTCCACGGAGGCCAGGCCTCCATGGGAGTGAGTTGAGGGGCAGGGGAGAGGGGGAGGCTCAGAGAGTGAGTTGTTTTCAAGATTCTGGACATATTCGGTGAGCAAATGTGTTTGTGCATACTCCACCACACACATCTATGTGCGGTGTGAGTGTGTGCTAGTGAACATGTGGGGATGAGAAGCAAGTGTGGTTGGGGTCGAGTGTGTAAACCAGCAGATTTGAGGTACAGGCTTGAGTTTCTCTTCCTCTTCTCCAGCCTCCAACTTTCTTCCCCAAGATTCCTGGGGGTCCAGGATCTCCTCGCAAGATCCCCTCTGCGGGTGGGGACCTGAGGGACTCACTCCCGACTCCACTCGCTCATCCCCCAAAACGCCCAAATTCTCAACCTGCCAGAAGCTCTTCTACCTGGGGGAGGGGGCAGAATAACGTCATTTCCTGCCCTGTACCACCTGCTGCCCTGCCCGTCCCGGTTACTCACCCCCTCTCAGGGGCGGGGGGTGCCGACGGTGGCCTTGGTAGGGCAGTGCTGAGGGGGCGGGGGCAGGCCGGCGAGGGCCGGGAACCGAGGGCGGGAGCCCCCACCCCCACCCCCGCGGCCCACCTGTGGCCCCGGCGTCCTTCCCGACTCCGGGGCGGGGCTTCCCGGCCGGTCCCCACCCCCTCCCCCAGCGATATAACTCGAGTCGCCGACCTGGCCCCTCTGTGGCCTGAACCTGAGTCCTGGCCTCTCGCTCTCCCGCGCGAACAGCATGAGCTTCACCACCCGCTCCACCTTCTCCTCCAACTACCGGTCCCTGGGCCCCGTGCAGTCGCCCAGCCACCGGGTCCGGCCGGTCAGCAGCGCGGCCAGCGTCTATGCAGGCGCCGGGGGCTCGGGCTCCCGGATCTCCGTGTCCCGCTCCTCCAGCTTCCGGGGCACCTGGGGGTCCGGGGGCCTGGCTGCCGGGATGGCCGGGGGTCTGGCGGGCATAGGGGGCATCCAGGGTGAGAAGGAGACCATGCAAGACCTGAATGACCGCCTGGCCTCCTACCTGGAGAGGGTGAGGAGCCTGGAGACAGAAAATCGGAGACTGGAGAGTAAGATCCGGGAACACCTGGAGAAGAAGGGACCCCAGGTCAGAGACTGGGGGCATTACCTCAAGACCATCGAGGAGCTGAAGGCTCAGGTAAGGGGCACAGAGTGAGCAGCCTCAGCTCCCAGCCATGTTTGACCCGCAGATTTTCCACTCCCTTACCTCTTCTTCCCCTCCCCCAAAGATGGGAATTTTAGGGGGGGGGCATTGACTCCTTCCCCCTTGCTATCTCCACCCACCCCCCCACTCCCCAGGGAGGGGGTTAGGAATGCCATGGATTTCCATACACACTCCTGGCCCCTGGGACCCTGGGTGGTGACAGGGCATGGGAGGGCCCTTTCCCAAGAGATAGTGGGAAAGGGAAAGGTGAGCTTCGCAGAGAAAGCAGAGGGCGTGGAGGGAGGTGAGACAAGGCCCATGAAGAAGACTAGACATCTGGCTTCTGGCCGAACGGGGACAGTTGGAGGGTTAAGCGGATGTAGCTAAGGCTGAGTCATCTAGGAGTAAACGGGAGGCCTACCTGTGGGAGGGGCCAATCTAGCGGGTGGGGGACAGTGAGCAGGTGCACTAGGAAAAAATACCAGGAGAGGACCAGGGAGAGGACTTGTTAGTAGCTGCTCACTTCTGAGCAGGCCAGCCAGCAGAGGCCTGGAAGGAGGGGCAGGAGGTGGCTGGTGGGAGCGCTGGGATCTGGGACTCCAGGAAAGGAGGGAACAGTGTGAGGGGCAGAGGTGGAAGGGGATAGGGGTACAAGGAGAGCCTCTGGCTATTCCTGGGACCAGGAAGGTTCCAGTGAGACAGATAACACCTTCCACACACTCAGCCCACTCCATCACTGACTTCCTATTCATGGAGCAACCCCTCTCTACAATCCTCCCAGATCTTTGCAAATTCTGTGGACAATGCCCGCATCGTTCTGCAGATTGACAATGCCCGGCTTGCTGCTGATGACTTCAGAGTCAAGTAAGGCTGGGGGGCTGGGGGGCTGAGAGGCTGGGCATGGGGCTCAGAATAAGAATGGTCTGCTCCCTGGGCTAGGTCAGGTAGGGGCTCATGGTGGGATCTTGTTCAGCTGGGGGCAGAATTGGGTGGCTGAGAGTTAGGCTCCATCAATTTATTCATTCATCTAACCCAGTTTAAGATCATTGTCCCCAAGTGCCAAGAACAGTGCTCAGAGGTTTACCACCTGATTCCTGACTCAGGTTGCTGGTTTGCAGTGGGCACCAGGCTGCTCTTAGGAGGTGGCATGGGTTGAGAAGGTTCTGGATCAGAGATGGTGTCCCTCTGATCACCTCCACTCCCACAGGTATGAGACGGAGCTGGCCATGCGCCAGTCTGTGGAGAGTGACATCCATGGGCTCCGCAAGGTCATTGATGACACCAATGTCACTCGGCTGCAGCTGGAGACGGAGATCGAGGCTCTCAAGGAGGAGCTGCTCTTCATGAAGAAGAACCACGAGGAGGCAAGCAAGGGCCACTGGCCAGGCCAGGAACCGGGACCGAGACAAGTCTGGGTGGGAAATTGATGGAGCAGGCCACCTGCAAGTAGCCTTGCAGGGAAGTTTAGAACTACCAGCCTGGGCTCTTCTTAACCTGACTGTTACCATGCTCAGTGGGTCACCTGAATTGCGGTATAATGAGGTCAAGAGGACGTGGGTGAGAGAATGAGATGAGGACAGAGGCAGAGCAGCTAGCCCTAGGAGGGAAGGGCGGTGGAGGAGCCAGGGCAGGTGGAGCTGGCAGAGCTTCCAGGAAGAAAGTCTAAGGAGCGGGTTTGTGGAAGGAGGGTAGATGGAGGGACAGGGTGAAGTGAGGCGAGAGAAACCACCTGTGAGTGACAGGCGTGGGCAGTGAGTGGGTGGCATTGTATCCATCTGGAGGAGAAAGCCCAGGACTGGCATTGCCCGGAGGGCAAGCCGAGAGTTTCCTTGGTTCTCTCCTCCGACTGATCCTGTGCGCCTCCTGGAAGAGGCAGTCACAGATGAAGTCACAAACCCTTCCTCACTTTTGTCCCTCTCTCCTTTAGGAAGTAAAGGGTCTACAGAACCAGATTGCCAACTCTGGGTTGACCGTGGAGTTGGATGCCCCCAAATCTCAGGACCTCAGCAAGATCATGGCAGACATCCGGGCCCAGTATGACCAGCTGGCTCAGAAGAACCGAGAGGAGCTGGACAAGTACTGGTCCCAGCAGGTGCACGAGGGGAAGGGATGAATGCCAGGCTAGACACAGAGGCCCAAGGGTGTGGGAGGGAGGCAGACAGAAGGAGGGACCTAAGGACCGTTTCCACCCTGCAGATCGAGGAGAGCACCACAGTGGTCACCTCGCAGACCGCTGAGATAGGAGCTGCTGAGACGACACTCGTGGAGCTGAGACGGACGGCCCAGTCCTTGGAGATCGACCTGGACTCGATGAGAAATCTGGTGAGAGCCCTCACTTCATCTGCCCCAGCTACTCTTGGCACCTGACCTCTGTTGGCCTCAGGCCCAATCCTGTCCCAGCCCAAATCCTACCCCTTCCATCAAGTTCCTTTCGCTCAGAAAGAGTTGTTCCTCTTTGCCCTTCCCACTGCTCCTACCCACTACCCTAGGACCTGGCACACAGCAGGTGCTCAAAAAAGTTTCAAAGAGTGAAGGAATGAGCATTCCTGGGTTCTGGACTGCTCTGCTGAAAGTCACAGAGACTCTCCCTCCCCTCTCTCGGCTCACTCGACCCTCCCCCCTGTGCCCCTGCAGAAGGCCAGCTTGGAGAACAACCTGAGGGAGGTGGAGGCCCGCTACGCCTTGCAGATGGAGCAGCTCAATGGGGTCCTGCTGCACCTGGAGTCCGAGCTGGCCCAGACCCGGGCAGAGGGGCAACGCCAGACCCAAGAGTATGAAGCCCTGCTGAACATCAAGGTCAAGCTGGAGGCTGAGATCGCCACCTACCGCCGCCTGCTGGAAGACGGGGAGGACTTCAGGTAAGTGGGGCTCTGCTCCCACCCACACAAGATATCACTTCTTCTCCTGAGCTTTGGTACACCCCCCATGAGCCTATTCTTTGGCATCCCCTGAGCACTGGAGTGGGGCTCTGTGCATGCCCCTGTGTCTCCAAGGGAGTAACAGTTACAGAGGTTCCCTCCTAGAGAAGAGGATAGACGAAGTGCTGCCGCTAGCCGTACTTAGAGTGGGAATGGCAGTTGGCCCTGGGTTTCCCCTTATGGAGGAATAAAGGGGAACTTGGAGATAAAGGCAGGCTTTTTTCCTCCACCTTCCTGTCTCCCTTCTACTGTGCTGGGCTATTTATAACCGGGGTTTGGTCTTGTGTTACAGTCTTAGTGACGCCCTGGACAGCAGCAGCTCCGTACAAACCATCCAGAAGACCACCACCCGCAGGATTGTGGACGGCAAAGTGGTGTCTGAGACCAACGACACCAAAGTCCTGAGGCGTTGAGGCTGCAGAAGCAGGGTGCCCTTTGGGGAGCAAGAGGCCAATAAAAAGTTCAGAAGTCACTGGACATCACTTTGCGTCTTTCTTGGCTGTTTTCATGCTGTGTGCAAATGCCCTGACCCAATAGTCTTATCTGTAATCGGGCAGAAATCACCTCTGACCCCCGGGGTTTCATACAGGTGGGGGAGTGGGCAGAGGAAGGGTCTGGGTTCCTGGAAACACCTTCTCAGAAAGAGGAGGGAACGGTAGTGGGCATGGGCGAGAGCAGTGGGGAAAACTACAATAGAATTGTGGAATCTCAGCCTTGAAGAGACCTGGTAATCATAAGGCCCCTATCTGACAGGTGCTTCGTGGCAGAAATCTGAGCCTGAGAAGGAAGTGGGGCCAAGGGCAGAGGACAAAGGAAAGAGGAAGAGGCAGGACCAGAATACACAGCTGGCCCTCCCCATCCCTGCCACTCTGCATCCTTGACCCCACTGCCCAGTGCTTCCCACCAGCAGCTTCTCCTGCCCGCCTCCCACATCCAAGCTCCCAAACCTGTGGTCCTCTGGGCCCAGCTCATTTACTCAGGTGGGATATGATTTTTAGAGTGCTAGTGGTCTGGCTAGAGTCGGAGTAAATGCGATCATTGCAGGTGAAGGAATAGTCTACACCAGTAGTTTCCATTTAGTAAGTGGTGCCCCTAAGTAAGCATCCACTTGGGTAACAACGAGCACCTTAAAGCTAACTGAAATGGCACAGTTCTGTGCTGTTTACTGGAAGAAGTATGCCATCTACTAGTGAAAACAATGAATGTCTAAAGCTAATCATATGCTTTGATTGGGATAATAATTTATCTTTTTAAATTAAAAAAACGTATAAAAGTAACGCACAAAATCCAAAAGGAAAGAAGGAAATAAAATGAAATATTTCCCATCTCACTTCCCAGAGGTAACCACTGTAAAATAGTTTCTTAAATTAGACATATACAAACACATTTCATTTTATTTTGTATATGGAGAATCATACCGTTCTGCACCTTGATTTCTTAAACTCTGCTTTCTTCATTTCACAATGTACCTTGGACACCTTTCTGAATCAGTATGTGTAGACCTAGCTCCTATTTTTTTCTTTTAACCCAGATGAGTAAATTTGAAATCCATATGCATATTCCATTTACCAAAAGGAAATTGTTAGTCCAATACTGGTGGGGAGCGAGGGGGAAGCACAGAATTGACAATATGCATTGTCACCTCTCCTGTTTTGGTGACAATTTTGATGACTTTTTTCCTACCCATTGTCCAGTTGAATGTTCATATCACATAAATCTGCTCTTAATCTGCAATAAAGAATAATTGCTGTGCTCCAAATTCTTTCCAAAAATTAGAACCTTGATTTGTGTAATGTCCAATCATGGTCGACAGACCAATTTGAGAAATGGTGTCTAGGTCTTTCTAGACCCTCACCTCAGTTATTTGTCAACCATCGAGTTTGAGAGACATCATACAAAATATGATATCATTTTACATAAAACTTCTTATTGCATCTGTATAGGAAAGATGTTGGAATCATTTTTTTGGAAGGACTCTTGGAATAATTTTCTCTCAGGTCTCAGCAACAAAACACTGTTCTGTTTGGTGGAGAAGGGGCTATTATATTTAATCTCCTGTGTATCACACATCTCATTCTTTTTCATAGCTGCCTAGTACTCCAGTGTGGAGTATGAGTTTACTTAACCCAGGTCTTCCAGTGATGGATGTCTTGGTCTCCAGTAGTTTTGTTTTTGCAAAAATGCTACAATTAATGTTAGTTAATATGCACTTAATATCTGTACTTAATATGCACTGTGTGTGCATAGCTATAGGATAAATTCCTAGAAATGGTATGCTGGGCTACCATATTAATCAGTCTTTATGAAGTACCCACTTTGTGCCCAGCCCTGGGCATTGAGTACACTTGGGGTAAACATAATGAGTATTGCCCCTACCTCAAGGAGCTCATAGCCGAATGGTCAAAAGTATGTGCATTTTTAGTCATTCTTTCAGCAAATCCTTACCGAGCACCTGCTAGGTACCAGCCACTAGTCTAGGCACTAGGGATACATCAGTGAACAAAACAGACAAAATCTCTACCCTCATTGAGCCCATATTCTGGTGACGGGAGACAGATAATAAACACAATAGCATGCTCGCAGGCGGTAAGTGTTACAGGCCGGGATAGAGCAAGCGAGGACTGTAGTGGGCAGAGTCAGGAAAGTGAAGAGGTGATGCATGATGATCCTAGGATAAGGAATCTTTGACTCAAATGGAAAACTGAGTTTTTACCTGAGAAATACAGTATGCTTTACTCCGCAATCTCTGAAAATATGGGAGTCCTTGGTGGAGAAGAGCTAAAGTCAGCACTGTTCCAGGCCCTTTGTCCCTGGGGGGCCCAGAGGACATGGCCAGGATGGGGGCAGCCCCATAGGGTGCAGGGGAAGCCCCCGGTGGGACGGGAAGGGAAGACGGGTCGGGGAGGCTGCGCAGTGAACAAAGGCCACTCTTCTTGAGGGAAGTCTGAGCGTGAGTTACACAAGCTCCCTGGGAGCTTCCGTGGGCGGGGAGCCCTGCCGCCTCTGGGTTCCCTCTGGGCTCTCGAGTCCTACTACCTGGAGGAAAACATCCTTCCTGAAAGCAAGGTGCCCTGGTGAGGTGTTTCTCACCCTTCTTAAGCGTACCTCCCCTGAATAAATATAACATAACAATACCACCTCACCTCTTCCTTCCGTCTCTCTCCAACCCCTGCTTTGTGTGTCGTGGTCACCCCACCCCCCATCTTTGCAGGAGTCTACAGGAGATGAATCTTTAGGGCACGACGGTTGAGCTTTACTTTCTGAGATTTGTCTTAGGAGAGCAATCGGACTAGTTTTCTTGCCCCATCCGCCCCATCATCTTCCAAATGTGTAAGTGTAATACTGAAGGTGCTCTCTCAGACCACACAGGTGCCCCAGAGGTCTGATGAGCCCCCCCAAAGGGTTGCACCATCCTGGCTGGCCATCACTGTAATTAAAATTAATTTAATTTAAAACTCCTCCTTAGGAGGAGTCCAGCTTTCCTCGGGCCCCTAAAAAGGAGAGACAGATGGCCTAGCCACCAGATGTGGGATGGTGAGGGACAGATCCGAGAATAGACTGACCCCAGCAAACATTATGGGATGCAGACCTGCCTGAGGGTGAAGCCAAGTCCCATGTTTATTCAGGGGAGGTACACTTAAGAAAGTTGCCAAGTCCCTGGTGGAGCCTGAGCAGTGCCTGCAGCTGAGTCAGGCTGATCAGAGTAACCCAAGACGATGCACCTGACATGACCAACTACCCCTCCCATCAGACAGCGTCCCCACCTCCCCCACCCCCTCTCCTGCCTCGTTCCCAGGGCGCTTATGCATTTGATCCTCATAACAATCCTGTGAGGTATGCGATGCAGTGGGTATTACTGGCTCCATCTCAGAGAGGTAGGCGCTACGGTTCACAGAGATCATGTGACTTGTCCCAGGCCTCAGAGCTAGAAGTTTCAAGCAGGAAACCACGCCTCCAGATTCCCAGTCCCAAGCTCTTTCCTCTGTGTATTATAACTTAACCTGGGGTTCTCAGCCCTGGCTGCAATTCCAATCACCAGGGGAATTTTACAGACAATACCCAGGCCCAGGTCCCGTCTCCACACACTCTGCTTCAGTTGTTCTGGGGAGGGGGCCAGGCCTCCTGGCAAATGTTAAAAGCGCTCCCTAGGCGATGGCAATAGGCAGGCAAGGTTGAGAGGCAGACCCAAACTATACCCAGGGTCAGCACCACCTCCTTCCCTCCTGATGCAGGTCACGGAGGGACCTGTTTTAAACAGTGCACTGCTGGAAAAGCCCGAGGCCTCTGAGGCAATCCTCTGACCTATTTTGTCCGCCAAGTGCCAAAGAGGAAAACTAGCAATTCCAAGGTTATAATATGGAGTCACCTGTTCCATATTGTACCTGTCCTATTTCATCCATCCCCTGTCTAGGTACAATCCAGCCCAGATACTAAATTGATAAGTGGTACTGGAAGGTGCAGAACAGCATGTATCGTATACTGCCATTTGTTTTTTTAAAAAAAACAACAATGATATATATATATACACACATGTAGAGAGAGATGTATATGTATTCAGACATATGCATCCCTGTATATGCAAAGATCTCTGGAAGGACACACAAGAAACAGGAATTAATGATTGCCTCTGAGGAGGGAAATTGGCGTGGGGGAAACAAACGTGGGAGGGAGACTTACTTTCCATTGTGTATCCTTTGTACCTTTTGAATGATACGTTACTAATACAAATACAAAAAAAAAATTTTGTTAACTTTTATAATGGTAGAAGAATCCACAGCCTTCCGGGGAAGGAAATGTTGCACCCAGCTTTGTTTCTGTCCCACGCCATTCATTCAATCATCACCCAACAAATATTTATTGAGCACATAGTGTATGCCAACAACTGTTCTAGGAGCTGGGGATTCAGGGGTGAACAAAACAGACAAATAATCCTTGCTCTTGTGGAGCGTACATTCTAGCAGATGGAGACAGACCATAAATGGTAAATGTAGTAAGTAAATTATATAGTATGTGAGAAGAGCCAAGTATCATGGGAAACACAGAGCAAGATATGGGGAATCAGGAGTCAGGAGGTGTGTTAGTTTCCTACCACTGCTGTAACAAATAACCATCAACTTAGTGGCTTAAAACAACACACATTTGTTATCTTACAGTTCAGGAGGTCAGAAGTCTTAAAATCAAGGTGTTGGCAGGGCCGTGTTCCTTCCAGAAGCTCTAGGAGGGAATCAACTTCCTCACCTTTTCCAGCTTCTAGAGGCCACCTGCATGCCTTGGCTCGTGGTCCCATCTGCTGTCTTCAAAGCCAGCTGCATAACATCTTCAAACCTCTTTCTTCCTCTGACTTCTGCTTCCATCATCATCACATCTCCTTCTCTGACTCTGACCCTCCTATCTCCCTCTTTAAAGATTATCTGTGATGACATCGGGTCCACCCAGATAATCCGGGATAACCTCCCCATCTCAAGATCCTTAACTTAATCACAGCT